TGGGTGAAGCATGCTATATCTGCCCAACCCCCACACTTTCCCATACCAGCAAAAACAGTATGGCAAATATCGAAAAGTCTCTACAGCAGCAGATGTGGGAGATTCGGACGCCTGCAGCCAAGGGGCACAAATGACTCACCTAAACCTCATGCCCATTTCAAGTCTGGTTATCGGAAACTTTTTAGCAAGAAAATATTGCTGGCATAAACACACGTGATGCTATATGCAGGGCTAAAAACCAACCAAATCATGTCACACTAATAATGAGAAAGTCAATCCAGCAATACTTGATCATTCAACATCTAGATTGCCCGCAGTTAGAAACTGTCACAAGTTCAAGACTGCTGACACAGCACAACCACAGCGCTGTTTCCGAGATCTTTGGAAACTCAAGGCTAGAGTGTCCAGGCTCGGAGGGACCAGGAGCACACTACTTGCACGCGTAGCAGGGCCCTGGCCCACAGCAGTGCCTACCATGGAGCTTCCCAAAGCCCCAGGACAGCTTCATTTTAGCACTGTGCCATCTTCTTTACATCGCTAGCCTGGAGTCAAGCTCTACACTGAACAGACTAGAGTTTTGAGTCTCACATCCATAAGAATGAATTAAAAGGGTTGGTTCAGCAGGTAAAGTGCTTGCTGCCAAGCCTGACAACCTGATTTGATCCCCGGGACCCTCACAAGAAGAGAACAGACTCCCAGAAGTTGTCCTCTGACCGCCACATGCCTCTCCCCCACCACACAGACACTACAATAAATATTTTGTAAAAAACAATAGGTTAAGCTAGGCATGGTGGTACATGCCTTTGATCCTAGCACTCAGGAGGCAGAGGCCTGTGGATCTCTGTGAGTTCAAGACCAGCCTGGTCTACATCAAGCATTCCAGGCCAGCCAGTAGTACTACATTGTAAGACCCTGGCAAAAAATAAATGAATAAATAATAATTAAATAGTTAATTTAATTAAAAAGTAAATCTTTAAAAACAAAACACAGATTAAAAGACTAACAGAAGTCTGGGAGTCCTATTGCAAATAGGAATCTGACCCAGTGACCCTTTGCCTGTAGGATTAAAGACATCACACCCACTGCTTAACCCTGTCCCAAGGACAGTCCTTTGGGATCTGCTCCTGCCCATCTGCCAGGGCTCACACCCCACCCTAGTATGCTCTCCCCCTCCCCCATGCCCCACAGCCACACTCCTTGCAACTCTCTTGCTATCTGAAGGGCCGGGTACTCCTCCCATCTCCCCACCCCTCCTGCTTGGAAAATTTCCCTCTAAGGCCCATCTCAATGGTCACATGACTTTTCACACTGAAGGTGAGGGGACCATCTCTGAGCTCCCAAGACACCTGGTTATAAACTCAACCCCAGTGCTCCTGACACCTGTAGGGTCTCCTCATGAGGCACTATCACTTTTGCTATAACTCATGAGTTACATTTCAGGTTTACGATCAGAGAACAGCTGTGCTAATTAGAGTCCATATTGCACCCAAAATCCAGCTAGAATTTCCGTACTCCCATTTGCACAGAAAGCCTTCCAGAATGGGGTATCAGATCAAGATGAAGGTGGCTTTTCAGAGGTATCCTGGCATGTGCAAACACACACAAGGGAAAGCTTTTGGTCAAGATAAAACACGGCTTCAGAACACCGCAGATGGCAGCCCTAGGGTCTTGTTTCTTGAGTTTTTTTTTTTTTTCTTGAGTTTTTTTCTGCCGGAGGACGCCAGCTTTTTCTCCTGCCAGCCTAGAATCGTTCCTGATTACCTGAGCCACAGCGCTACAGGGCATTCTTATGTCAAGACACTTGTAGAAGGACAGCTCGGGGAGTTGCAGGAGGCGTTACAATATTATTTAACCATGTACTTGTTATGAAATTATCAAGGTTGGGGCTGGAGAGATGGCTCAGTGGTTAAGAGCACTGGCTGCTCTAGTGGAGGACCTGGGTTCGATTCCCAGCACCCACATGGCAACTAACAATCATCCATAACTCCAGTTTCTGGGAGATCCGACACCCTCTTCTGATCTCCTTGGGCATAATAAAATATTTTTTTAAACTATCAAGGTCCAAAATGAAATGATTCGCCTGTGAGTTCCAGCTCTGGGGTTTATAGAAGAAATCACTCCTGTTCCATAAAACATTCACCTCTGGGAGTTTGCCAGCAATTCCACTGCATTTGGATATGTTCTTGCACTCTTCTAAGGAAGGCAGAAGTGAAAGAGAAAAGTACCCCAGACCACAAAGTCCTGTCCGCAGGTCTACAGGCTCCATCCAAGTGCTGGAGGAAGCCATAGGCAGACTGTGAGGAGGTGGGGGGAACCAGAGGACAATGGTCCTGTTTGCTCAAGATCATTCCAAGTAAAAACAGAGGGGTCAGAACAGAGGCAAAGGGGACACCAGGTAGCCAGCTAAGAGGCTTGGGCAGTCATCATCATAAACACCATGAGGCTGGCTTGGATGTGGGAGGGCAGTGGAGGAGGCCACGATTGTCGGGAGGAGCACCCCTAGGCTTTGAAGACTGAGGAGGACAAAGGTGACTCCGGACAGATGACTCTCCAGGTCCCGGCTTGAAAGTCAATTGAACAATCACACACCTTAAAGAGATGAAGGAGGCCTGCAAAGAGTTAAAATGTGTACACATTAAGCTTAAGGTACCCATGCCATAACCAAGTTTGCTAACTGTTGAACAAGACACAGAAAGGGCTACAGAGCACAGAGGAGTCTTGTGGGCACCTGAAGCTGGTCTCACTGCTGGCCTCTTCCTGTTGCTCTCAAGGTTGCTGAGGGTCCTGCCATTGGACCAGCATGAGGTGGGGTGCAACCAATGGGATCAACTCAACTAGGAGACACAGAGGCTGCTTTTATCCCCAGCTACACAGGCACTAGCTTTGGGGTTAAGAAAACAAAAACCCAAGTCCTGAGAGATGGCTCAGCGGTTAAGAGCAGTTGCTGCTCTTGTAGAGGACCCAAATTCAGTCCCCAGCATTCACAATTCACAACTGCCTGTAACTCCAGGGGATCTAATGCCCTCTCCAGGCCTCCCTGGGTTCCTGCACACTCAAGATGCACATAATCTTTGTTTCCATAATGAAAAACAAAGTGATGTCATTTGCAAGAAAATGGCCACAACCAGGGATAAACATGTTAAGCAAATGAAGCCAGTCTCAGAAAGTCAAGTATCATAGCTTTCTTGACTCTGTGGTTCCTGGATTTTATATGGATGTGTAAATGTGTATATGCGTGTGCGAGTGTGTGTATGTGTGACATGAAAGAGGCAAGGACGGACAGGACGTGGACACGGATACACATAGACAGTTTAGGGAGGGACTAATGTGGGGGGGCACAGACACACACAGACACACACACAGACACACACACAGACACACACACACACACATGACAGTTTAGGGAGGGACTAATGTGGGGGGATAAGGAGGGAAGGGGGATAAGGAGGGAAGGAAGCTACAAGGGGAAAGAAAAAGTACAATATATGCTTGTATGCAAATGTCCCTTCATAACCATACAGTATACAATGAATAGACGGGATGAAAAAGTAAGACTGAACTGCCTTGTACCAGGACTGGAAACACACAGCCTAACAGCTCTTCAGTTATAAGCATCATAACTGGGAGGTCTGCCTACTTCCTGACACTCAGGCTTCTAGGACTCCAGTTATGACTATTGATGTTTGGTCCTAGGCCCTGCACCTTAACACCTTGAGAGCACCATCCTGATTGGGGGATTTCAGCTATGCCCACTGGCAAATGGTGTTAGATACAGAGGAAAGGTCAGACTATTTCAGGAAACAATGGGGCATTGAAACTGCATCCTGCTCTTACACTAATCTGCCTCCCCTAGAGCCTGGCCTCACACTGTGACATCTGTTTTCCAACTTCCCCATCAAAAGAAAAAAATCAAATGTCAGTAGACAATCTGCATTCTAATTAAAAGTTGAATCCTGTTTTTTTTTTTTTTCTTTTTAGAAATTTCATTTAAGTAAATAATTCCACATGGCAATTCACTGTCACCTTGATTGATAGGAGCATTTGCAATTGTTTAAAATGGAAAGAGAAGACATGATTAGATACAGCAGGATTAAGCTGATCAGACGCTGTTTTAGCATCGTCTCGTTGACTCACAGGGTAAGACAACGTGGCATTTATACAAAATGATTACATTTCCAGCATCTAAGCAGCCCTAGGGGGGAGGTGCCCTTTCAAAGTTGACTGAAATGTCTCAGGAGGAGGCTTTCTGCCCTGCAAGAAAGCGGCAGGCGAGAGCAGGACACAGGGACAGAACAGCAACCCGAGGTTGGAAAGGGTGGTACTCTCAGGGCTCAAGGCACAAGCAGCTTGCCATGGATTCCAAAAGCAAAGACCAAGATGGCACAAAGGAGACAGCCCCGGACTCCATCCCACTGGCTCATGGCCTCAGTGCAAAGCTCAGACTTAGGAGCTTGTCTACAGACGAGAATCCCTCAGCGCAAGGCTCAGATTCCTGAGCTTGTCTGCTGAGAGGCTACCATCTGCGGCCTGTTTCCCAGACTGCTGGTAGAAGACAATCTGGTGTGATGTGCAGAATTACCTACAAGAGGGAACGTGCTCTAGACTGAGAGACTGCTGCACCTGCTGTCGCCTAGGAGGGGCCAGCACCCAGAAAACCCGTAAGATGAACGAGAAGTCTTTGGGATAATTGCAGGCACACAAAGAGTTTGAGAAGAGGAACAACTGGTTAGTTTAAAGTCAAAGTTTTTCGAGGGAAGACAGTTGCAATGCAACTGTTCATTGACTGAAGTTGCCTGGAGGCTCAGTGGATGAGGGTGATGTCCCAAACCCCTGCTGTGCAACCCTCATTCAACGCCAGACCCAGGGAGCCCAAAGCGGGCTAAGGTGGCATTTGATGAAGGCCTCAGAAGATGCACAGGAGGCCAGGCAAGGAGGAGGCATGTCCGGGTAACAACAGGGGCAGTGACCCCCAGGAGTGCCCCTGAGGACAGAGCTTTTACCTTTCTTCCAAGTCAAGAACCGCCGCTTCAATTATCTCAGCAGAGTGACTTCCAGTCAAGGTGACCTGGTTACTCCTGTTGGGAAATTAGAGGAGGTGTGAGAGGTGCTTGGGAATAGACTTTCACTCCTGACCCCCTTTTCAGGGATCCCTGCCTATGTTGAGAAGGCAGTGAAGGGTGACCACCTATCCCCACGGTCAGCTGCCCTGCCCCAAAGAGCACGTCCCGCTTCCATCTCCCAGCAGGCTGGCTGAGCTTTGTTCCCTACGTTCCTGAGAGTCCACAGCAATCCTCCACCAATTTAAACTTACATGAGGACATTCTTGTTTCTTGTAACAAACAATCACTATTTTAAAATGAGAGATTCAGGATTGGGTCTAAAAAAGGAAACCAAAATAGAAGGTGAAGGGATAGAGGCTTCTGAGATAAAACCTAAGAGCAATTAAAAAGACAAGTGCCAGGAACCTCATACCACTCTTCGAAAGTGTCAGGGGACAAAGGAAAGAGATGGGTGGGCCCAGAATACAGGACCAGAAAATAATCCCCAAACCCCAGCAGCATTAGCTGTTCGGATGGAAGCCTAGGCTGCAGAGAAAAGGGTACATACTGGGGGTGGGATCTGTAAAAGGCCAAAGGAAGAGTTTCCCTGAAAACGAGTCGTTAGGAGAATCTGGGTGAGTCTACAGCACAGGGATTGGGTGAACGCCCACGCCCATCCTTACTAGTGAAACCAGCAACCAAAGGAGGAACCTTGGTTTACTGATGTGGCTTCAGTCATCTGGAGGCTCAGCAAGGCCAAAGGGGCTAAAGAGACTCCACGCACGAGATGGTGGTAGGCACTGCTGTAGGATCTATTTTAGTGATCGTGCACACATAAGTACACACATACATAGACAAAAGGGCACAAATACACGCAAACACGATACACAAGCATACACATTCACACATAAACATACATGATCATACACACGAGAACTTTAAAGATGGATGGCAAACATCACTTGCCATATTTTCCCATTAGTTGTCGGGTTGGTGAATCAGGAGGTCGCTTTCTGAGGGCTTTGAGAACCCCGACTCCCACCCCTCCACTATGGAGCAGTGGCTGGCGAAGTTGAGGTCAAGGTACTAAAGGCGGCACTAGCAGAAAGCCTGGGAAGAGAAGGCATCTGGTTCTTCTGAGGGTCACAAATGCTGAAGGGAGGTATCTGGACTTCACTGGAGCAGTGTAAGACTTGGGATGCCTGCAGCCAGACCTATTCTAAGAAACACCATTCAGAAAGTATAGGGAGTCAACATGGGCTCCACAGAGAAGGGCCAAAACTGCCAAGTCGGAGGCAGAAGACTGGAAATCCGTCAGTAGGGTCATGGCCGCAGCTGCCCTCTCCCACCCACCCCTCGAATGGCTTCAGCTGAAGAGTGGCTAAACTGATCAGTTTTCTGTTGAAGTGCTACAACACACTTAGAATTTTAAACGTCGAAGTTTGAAAACAGAAACAAAACTATACACAACCTGGGAGACCTCACCTCCCCCGGTGTTCGAGTGCACTCTCCCCAAACACCTGCCCTCACTAACCTCACAAACACTCAGGGAGTTTCCAGGCTCCCAGACAGAATGGAGAAGGAACTCGGAGACTTGGCAGAAAAGGCTTTGACTTTGCAACGGAGGCTGCTGTCCTGCCAGACTTGCCCCGTTCAGTGTTCAAGTCCCTCTGCAAGCTTGCATCTCAGCCGTCACAGCAGATGACCTCAGAATCCTAAAAGTGTCTAAATGACAGTGCTCAGGAGCAGAGAGGATCAGAGGCACCACTGGGCCGCCCACAGGGGCGCACAGCTCCACACACTCTGATTGAGTGACTGAAAGTCACATACACCCTTTAATGTCACAATTCAGTTCCCAAACTCTACAGCATGGAACAGGAACAAAATGTAGCAGGCAAGAAGGCGGCCTCACACACGAGGTCAGCAACAGGAAAGCTTCTCACCAAGAAGAGACTATCAGGGAAATGGTGGTAGATTCATATATAAAATTTTATGAACCCACTAAAATCAGATTTTACACAGAAGTTGTAATAAGACAACTGCAATAACAGTTAATCCTTAAGTGGCTAGGTACTACCTGAAATATTTATGGTGATACACACACACACACACATACCCCTCCACTCCTCCTTGATGGTTACACCAACTAAGGGAGGCAAGTGTCTTAGTCTAACTTCCCACTTGGAAAATGAAGGAGCGGAGAGTCAAGACGCTTGCTCTAGGTCGTCTGGTCTGGCTTGCGAGAGATGGGCCAACCCAGTCCTGGTCCTCTTAAGCCCTGAAGCAGTGATTGATGGCCCCAGAGATGTCAGGCCCTTCCCGAATGTGGCCTTACATGCACAAGCACTCTTTCCAGATGTGATTAACAACCCTGAGAACAAACCAGGACTGGTTCAGGGCCAGTAGAGGCTGCACAGGGAGTTCACGGCCATTCTAAGCAACTTAATGAGACCCTATCTCAAAATTGGAAAAACAGAAAAAATAAATTAATAATAATAAACTTGTAAAATGAGGTCTGGAGGCTGGGACATAGCTCAGAACAGAGCGCTTACCTAGCACGTTTGAAACCCTGGGTCTGGTTTCAATCCTGGCACTGTAAATGATACACGACTTCAGCTGAGCCTGATCGCTAAACATAGTCACAATTGGGCTTGTTGACCGTTGTGCTCATTCATTAAGGGAGGGCCAAGCAGGGTCACTGGACCCTCACCTGAGTATCCAGCCACTCTTCCCAGCCAACTAGTCCAGCCTTGGAAGACAAAAGAAAAATAAGGAGGAACCCAATAGAGGGATGCTTTTGGAAGCCCTTGTCAAGAAACTCCAATGGACGCTCATATGAACATTTGAAAATTGCCCTGTTCTGACTTTTTTCTAGTTCCCTGTCTAGAACTTGTAATGCTAATTACTCTTGCGTTTACTTCTCCTTCACATCTCCCATTCATGATTCAAGAACTTTCTTTTCCCCTTAGAGACAAGAGTTATATAATTTGGGAGTCTTTTAGTTAGACCCACTGAAGGGGTACTCCAATTGCCTCGCCGTGCATCCCTGTTCACCATGGAAGAAGCCAGAGCAGTCTGTGTCCTGATTTCATATCCTCAAGTTGGGTAACCTCTTCAGAGGGTGTTGTGATAAGAATAGGAGGTCAGAATTTGCTAGGCAGTTAGGGAAAAAAGATTCCAAAGAAAAGTAGCCAGTTTCTTGGCTAAAACTCACAGTGTCCTTGGGCCTCTTAGCAACATACTCTGTTCCAAAGGCCAAAAATGTCGAAAATATTTGGGAGCTTTTATCTGATCCTTAAAAGATTTTAGGTTTACCTCTTCAGAGGGGGGAATGTTAGAGTAGCCAAAAG